GAGGGGGCTGTTGCAAACTAGGCAAGTGAGATTGTTACATACAGTGGTTTTCCAAGGCATCTGTTTTGATACACCCAAGCATCTGTTGGAATAACTAATATTTTTTAAAAAACCAACCTGGAAAATGAAATGTTTTCATTTCTCTGTAGTTAACGCATGCCTTTTGAGCATATGGCATCCAAAAAGCCTTCGAGAAAAACTTTTCTGTGAACATAAAGCAATCACACTGTAATTTTCTTCTGTCAGTGCCAGGCCGCCTTTTTCCTTTCCTTTATAACACTGCATATAATCAGGCATATGCAAATAACCAACAGCCGCCTCGGCCTCCAGAGCCTGTCTCTCCCTTTGCCAGCCTTTCTCATCAAAGCTGTGTTCTCACTCTCTCTGCTAACCTTTTGTGGCAACAGTGTTCTCTCAATCTCCTGACTTTGTTAGCATGCAAGTGTTGTTTTCATTTGCAAACACGAGCCATAGAGCTAACATTGCTCAAAAGCAAGGGGAAGAGAAAATATAGGAGCAAATTCTTCCGTATGATCTCTTTACTATCTTCTTTCACACTTAAAGGAAGGCTACTTCTGCCTTGAGAATAAATGGGGATCTAGTTTCACCCCTCTATTTATCCAAATATCCCCAAATGTTCAAAACTTCAAAATAGTCTAACATACACAAGGATTGTGAGAGCCTTCCTACCTAGACCTATATGTGAGCCAAAGGGAAGGTACATTATTAGATCACATTTTAGTTTATAAAGTTATGCTCTTTTAAAACCTTATATTGAAGACTGTAATTCTATTATTGTATATACATGCTTTGGTCAGGCCTCATCTGGAATACTGTGTCCACTTCTGGACATCACAAATCAAGAAGGATATTGCCAAGCTGCATATACCCAGAGGAGGACGACTAAAATGGTCAAAGATCTGGAAGCCAAGCTCTAAGGGTGTGTTTATCTTGGTGAAAAGAAGGCTAAGAGGGAACACAATAGTCTTGTTTAAATATTTGAAAGGATGTCAAATCCAAGAGGGAGCCAATTTGTTTCTTTTCAGTTCCAGAGACTAAGATATGGAGCAATTGATACAAATTATAGAAAAATAAGATTCTATCCAAACATTCCTGATGGAAAATGTTGTTTGACAATTGAGTATATCATCTCAGATGTGGTGGAGTCTCTGTCTTTGGAAGTTTTTACCAGAGACTAGATGAATATTGGTCAGCAGTACTTTGGCTATTTCTATATGGGCAGTGGGTTGAACTGGATGGCCTATGTGGTCTCTTCCAACTATATAATTCTATGCAAGTGACTTTTATGGATGTCCTTTATTATGCATTAGAGAGATTGGTGTTCCCTCCCTCCCTCCCCTGCAGTCGAAGCCCCACAACTTACAGAAAGTTCCCAAACCTGCCTCACAGTCATTCATGCTTCATGGCAAACAGGCAGTATCACAGAAACACCTGGTTACATCCTCACAACAAGAGAGTATCAGTACTGAGATCTGCTGAAGTCTTCCAGGGGTCTCAGTGCTGCATAACACCAGATACTTCTCCAATCCCACCTGCTTGCTGTGAAGCATGTAATGATCATCTGATACAGCTTCAGGGGCTATCAGTTGAAGGAAGGTATATGACTCCACAGAGTATAGGCCCACATATGGCTATCTATGCTACACTGATTATTCATTCTAATAATGCCAGTAGCTTTCAAAAATGGATTGAGAAAAATCATCCTTCATTATCTAAAACTTTCCTAATTGCAGTAATTTATAATTTACCCATTCACATTGGCTTATTGTGATTGGGGCTGTTGTCCAAAACATCCAGAAGGCGACAGACCATGGAAAGCTGCACTAGACAGAAAGGAGAAAGGTTCAAGGACTGCCTAGTATCATGGGTGTTTCCAAGTATGAAGTTCCAGTTTGGCTGAAAATTAATGGTGGAAAGCACGTAAAGATTTCATAGAAAAGATGGATTTTATGAGACCTTTTAAAGACAGGCAGAGAGGGGATCAACATAAGAGATAGCCCTAGAGAACGGGCAAGGGAGTTTTTTGAAAAGGAAAGTAAAACAATGGAGTGTTTCTGAAGAAAAAAGACCTGAAGACACGAAGTATTGCAGGAAAAAAAGGCAGAAAGCAAGGCCCCATGAGGCTAACAAATGTTAGGTTGTGCTGAATACAAAATATTTTGTCCTATGTAGATGGAGGCAAAACAGATACCTCCAGTCAATTATGAGATACCAGTTGGATTATAGCCTTGGTGTGTTGACTTATTCATGGCACATTCCCATAATTTCCAAAGTGCACACCATTCATCACACATAGAACAAGGTGGAAACCTGGGAGGACATAAAGGTGTCTTCTCTATTCTCTCTATAGTTTAATCCATTAGGTTTGTCTGACACATCAGAAGAAATACTGCAGGAAAAGACAACATACTTACGGGAAGCCTGTCCATCTCTGTTGGGGGTGATGTAACCAACAAATATGGCCCAAATGAACTTCTAGGAATGGAGGGATGTAAAACCCCATTGAAAAAGTAGGGTAATTTCAATCTCTATTTTTTTTCTGGAGTAAATATTACTCAAAACAAAATGTTGCCATAAAGTAAACAAGGAGGCACATCCAGAGAGCTGAAAAAAATATTTCATGTGGTTCTATCCAAATTGTCTGCCAGAGAGCAAATAGCTTATGGCACGCAGAACACAAGAGAAACAAAGAATTCAAATATGTGATGGTCTAACTACAGATGACCACCCTTTCTTTCTTCCAGATTTACCTTGGAGCATCTCCTTATTATCTCTTTTCAAAGATACATCCAGATTACTTATAAGCAGAGTTACAGGTCAGTTGGTTACTTACTAAATATAAACAGGGTACATTTATGAAGTGTTGCTTACATGAGAATGACTCAACCAGAAAAACAGAACAGTAGAGTTGCTGGCCCAACTGTCATGATGCTAGCAGCTCAGCATGTTAAATCTGAACGAATTATTTCCAGCAGGCACCAGCCAGCAACATAGTGGTTGTCTCTGGGGCCTTTGCAGCAATCATAATTGCCACAGTGCAACTATATTTATCCTGGCAAAGCAGGGGAAGTGTGCCAATACAATCTAATTTCCAATAACTTTCACAGCTATCCAAGTACATTTTGGCCAGGAAATCTACACATATCACAGCCAGATGTAGCCCAACTCGAATCTGGGCAACTGAGTCATTTCTCTGATGAAGCTTTAGTGAGTTGGTGACAGAAATTAAACGACATTTTCACAAAAAACACCTGCTTTGGCCTGGATAGCATGTCTGTTCAATTTTTTTGAATGACACATAAAAAAAACCCTAACAAAACAAATATCACACATATTAACATCAAGGAATAGGAAAGAAGAAATGTGGGGGAGAAAACACCAAGCCTAGATTTTTCTGTAATGTTCTCTATACATTTTCTATAACCTGGGAAGGGGGAAGAGCTTGACAGACATACTTCAACGTAGGGTTTTCTGTATAGAAAGCGCACACTAGATCCAACCTTTCCTTGAGGAATTAGCTCTTTGTTACAGAGGAGGTTACATCTTCTTCCATATCTGATGTGATACTGACAATTATCACCTCCCCAGCTGATGCCATTTGTAAAAACACATTAAAATCAAGTGTAGTCTGACCCTGAGCAATGTATTTCCAATTCTCAGTATCCCCCACCAGCCTCCAGTGCCCTACTTTCTTTGGTCTCTGAGCTGTAACTGCCAGTTCTAAAGAAGACATTTGAGTGCGAGCCAGCCTCAATCTAAAGTATGTTGCTGGAATGTCACCTTTCTAAACCATACAGCTTAAAATTCAGCTGCATTAAAACATTGTGCATGTGTGTGTTCCAAAGCCACAATCTCCAGTTCTCCCGTCATTTGTCCTACTTTTGGGGTTTGTCAGCAGTTTGTCTGTCTCTCTGTCTGCAAAAAAAAAACCCAAAAAAACCAAACCTATATTCATGTTGTGTGCTCCAACGAATACAATGTACTATATAGGGAATAACCAAGAGCTAAACAGTAATCACATCATGATCTTCTTGTACAAACCCAGCTCAAAGGTGGAACACAGTCTACTCTCTTCCTCTCTTTTTGCATTACCCCAATCCTTTCCATAAAGTTGACATATGGACACCTGCATCAGCAGCCCTGAGGAGTTTGTTGACAAGTATAGCTCTAAAACACAGGTGGAATACACACAAGATCCTATAGAAAATCCTGTAAGAAAGAATTCTACCCCTTGAAGGTACTTTTCCTAGAATTTTGCTTGTGTTTTCTAAAATCATTGGAAAAGTAATGCAACTTAAAAAAAATACAAGACACATTTTGGAGAACATAGTTATATTAACATGGATTACTTTCTTTAAAACAGTACCATATTATTAAAGTCTGAACTTGTGTATCACCTGTAGGTGAGTAGAGCAACAGAATACATCAAGAAAATAGCTGGCTTTTAATGCATTTTTTGACTTGAGAAACATTTTATCTCATAGATGCTGGCATTTATAAACAGATAAACAACACTGGAATGAGGATTTTGTTTTTACTATTACATACTGCTTATAAAGTAGTTAATATGGCCTGAATATAAAGAACTAGGTAACTAGTTCCATGAGTCCAAGTGAGGTTTGGGTTTGTCTTTCCCAGCTGTGATATGGCGTGGTGAATTTACCATTCAAAAGGATATTTTTCTGGATATGCTCGGAACTAAAATCTCAGAAAAACTTGGGACATTTTACTTTTTGGGTGAGGAATTCTGGAGATTGCAGTCCCTAAAAATTAACATTTCCTTTGGATCCTGGCAGTAAAGATTGTTTGTTGTTCTTAAACCTTTTCACAGGGATAAAGTTGCTCATGGAAAGGGGCTCCAGTTTCTTCTAGATGGTGGAACTCAGACTAAATGTCTAGAGCCTTGACAGTTTGGACAAGTTTATGCCACAAAGGCCTGCCTTTTCTATTCCTATTAAAGAAAACCCTTTAACTGTACATACGGTTAAAGATCTTTTTTAATCACAGACTGAAACATCATGGTTACAAAATGGATGGTTAAATTCAAAACCACCATGCACACAATTCTAGCTGGGAATAGTTTGCCCATCACCACCATCCACTTTCAATCAGGTAGCTCAGGCAAAGTTCACATTTGCCCATGTGACTGAACAGTGAATCCCGGAATATGAGTGATGCTGCTGCTCAGCAGAGGCGAGTGAGACATGTTGTATTCGCACAGCAAGCTGTGGTGGCTATTTTTTCAAGACTTCTATGGCACCAGATCAGGAATCCCAACAAGTCTGCAGCTTTCTGTCCAGAGTCTTTTCTGCAGCTCTTCGTCATAGGAAACATCAGCAGATTTTGTCCTTTGCTCATTGTAAAGATAGCAGCCGCCAACTCCTTCTAGCTCTGGTGAAACTGCTGCATAGATTGACGTAGATGCACCCTCTTCTGGTGTCTGTAGATAAGAGAGAAAACAAAAAAAAAGTTGTGGAATGAAAATACTGAGAACAAAGCACTAACTGGTCATTGATAAATGGAGGGGATAATAGAGCCGTCTCATTTTGTAATGATCCTAGAGGAGGTCAAAAGTCCATAACATTTTTGATTCAGTCAATATGGAGAGCTGGAAGGTGGAGGTAGGAGAGAAAGAAACAGATAGTCCGGAAGAGAGATACAGTGTGATAGTGTTTCACACCTTGAGTGTTGCTAAATGGACCTAAGAGTTCATTCTTTTTAGTTCTTATGGAATGCATCACTTGAGCAGAACAGTCCCAGAGAACCTTAAGAGCCTATCCTTACTTTATAAAGGCAACCTATTAAACACGGCTGTTCACAGCCATCTCATCACCATAAACAGCAGACGTTGTAGTGAATTGGCATATCATTTTTCTGTAAAATAACACTTTGGGATTGGGGAGAACACACCAATGTGTCTTATTTTAAAATGTTGAGTGTGGCCTTTTGGTTAAAAGTGGACATGAAAATGACTAGAACTAATATTTCTGGGAAAGGAATTTGGAATGCAGGCTTATTATTTGCTGTCTCATATTTGGTCAAAATGTATTTTCAATTAGTGTTTTATATAACTGGCAAATCACATCTTTCTTGGCATAGATTTAATGAATTCCTGAAAGCAACCAACAGTCCTGAAATCTCTAGTGTAATTACTCATTTTACCAGGATGAAAAATTCTTTGATCTGCCATAAGCAGATGAAGGTGTAGGCTGTATGTAAAATGCATTCCCCGTTCAGTAACTCTGTACAAGACATAAACCATGACAACTCTGCTGACAGCAAATGAAGATTCTTAGGTTTAATCCAGCACAGGAAGGTAAACTAGAGGATTTAATTTGACACACAAAACTGTAATCAAAGCAATGTGCTGTCAGAGAGAAAACTAGTATATGTAAGACATAAAACTAAAGTAATGATTTGTATATATAGCATGCAATTTGCCATACGTTTAACAGATTATGTTACAATATGTATTTCTGAAACATTCCTAGGTTAGAACTTCATATGGCTCAGCAAAGAGTAGTAATCCCACATGCTAACTATGATACAGGTGACCCAAGACTTACCATAGAATCATTGCAACTCCTCCTTAAAGTAGTTCTCAGCCTGGTAGGAGAGGGAATCACAGAAAGATCTGTCTTTGTAGTCTGACGTGAAATTATTTCTTCTGGGGCCCTTCTGAGAAATCAGTGAGCGATGGAATCATTTCACACCAGACTAAGGGAACAGAGTCAGATCCTTCTTCCATCTCACCAGAAAGCTGATGTCAGCTCCGATCTCATAACATCTGGATGACCTTTTCTATCCTAAGTAAATATGAAGGGGTGCTTAGGTGGTCTTTTTACAACTGTGACAGCCTACATTGGCTTTAAGTCTAAAACAAATGAAGAACCTTCATCATGTAACTGGTGCTGGGTCGGATATATGTGGCTTGTAATCCACAAGAAATACTGATTGATGCAAACTGGGATGGAATTAGCAGCCATTAAGATCTGGGTAAAACCTATATAAACAAGCTAAGAGGATTTGGAAGAATTTGATAAAAAAAACCCCATATTATTCTTTTAAAAATATCCAAAACAATATAATCAACTACAATAAGAAAGCTTTCATGACCTCCTCCCCAATTGTGATGCTTCTATTTGAATGTTTTAAAAATTGTACATCTTAAGAATGCAAAAAAAAATAATAATCTAATTTATACATGAACGTAGGAGATATATCAGTCCCCACAGCTGAATTTTTCCCTGATGTGTATGGGACACGCTTTCCAAGCACAACCCAGGATATGGCAGGTGCTTACATGCTTCCAATTCCCATTTCAGTGCAAACTAATTACACATGCCTGTCTAACTGATAGCCTTTTCCCAAATCCAGCAACGGAAAGGGGCCAATGGAAAAAGGAATCGCTATAGTAACTGGGGCAGGATGAGAGAAAAATCAGTATCACAGAAAGCTATGAAAATCTTTAAACAGGCTCCTTGAAGGCTAAGAACTACAGAGAAGCTACTGGGCATATACAATTCAGAGTTAGAAAATAAAGTTATTTTCAAAATTATTATATTTTAATATTATCCATGTTAACTATTTATTTTTCTAAGATATTCATTAAGTCATACATTTCATGTACATGGCAAACACTAAAACATCTCAACTCATTTAATAAAGATTTAATAAAGAAGCCATTGTACGAATACACTGATAATAGAAACAAGATTACAAAATCTTACCTCGACAAAGAAAATAATAGTATGACTCTGCACGCTATCCTTCTTTTGAAACAGAAATACCATAATTTCTAATATGATTTTTCTCAACTGTATTTGTAAAGGTCTTGTTCTTATGTGCCTGACTTCACTCCTAAGTTGTGTGTCCATTCCCATTTTTTCTTTCCTTCACTCTGAGCTTCCTGTGTTTGTCACCTAGTTCATTTTCCTTTAAAATCCTCCTCATCTAAGGTCTGACTGTGAGACACAAGCTCTAACAGAAATTGAACAATCATGTCCTCCATAAAAAGTTTTTATCACACCCTATAATTAATGTCAAAGTTACTTGCATTGCTCATGTAGAGAAGGTTATTCAATATCAACCTTTAAAGAAAAATCCATTATGAACGACTCAAGATACCTAAAATGCTTTGCTGTGAGGAGCCTTTATTTGCAGAAATCATAAATTGTACTAATTCATGAAAATGTATTGCTACTGGCCAAAGCAAATTTGCCTGCCCACTGAAATAGAAAATGAAGTGAGCGCACACACACATTTTAGACAGTTCACAATTGGCAGGGCTCATTGTTTTTACTTTTTTATACTAAAGCACCATGTACATGGCCTTAAATAAATAAATGAAGTCATTGAAATAAATACTGAATGGGAGAAGAGTCAGCAAATATCTCTATCTTGCAACCCTATTTACTGGAATATTATTAAGTAACATCCCATTTGTAATTAAGTCACACATGGAATAAATAATTCAAATAGAGTCCCTGGATTTTTGTAGCACGTTGAAGGTCAACCTGAAGAGTTTTTGCCAAGAGTATAATCTCATAATTGAGTCAAATACTGCTTTCTGGTTGAAATCTTTGCAAAAAGCACCTTATGAAGACAAGTACTATATTATCTCAATACGATGGTGCAAATAAAACAGTGGTCCATGGGAAACCTTCTCCCAAAAAACCATCTTGTTTCTCCATTAATATTTTAGTCTATTAAATAGGTCTCTAATTTCACTAGGATATATCTGCCACACAATTTGAAAATCACATTCAAGAGACTAATAGGTCTTTAATTTACTGGGTCTGTTCTAGACTCACCTTTGTAAATCAAAATGACAATTGCCAATTACAACTCCTTGGGAAATACTACTAGTACATAACTGGTTGTTACCAAAGATGCAAGCAGGGACACACACCCATTTATTTTGATTTTAAAATGTTTACTGATATGCCGTTGGAAACAGGGAGCCTTCCCTCTAAGTCTCAACCTGTGGGTTCCCAAATGTATTGGCCTTCAACTCCCAGAAATCCTAACAGCTGGTAAACTCATTGGAATTTCTGAGAGTTGTAGACCAAAACACCTGTGGATCCACAGGTTGAGAACCACTGCTCTAAGTGCAGCAATATGTTTGACAATAGCCTCTGGAGTTCATAGTGGCCAAGGCTGATGGTTAGACAAATATCCTAGGCTCAGATCTGATGATGAACAGGCTTCATGAAACAGTTTGCAGAAGGGATATTTCCATTTGTACACCTAAAATAGATATGCTTTGAGGTGAGCTGGACTTATGACTGTAATGTATCAGCATTCAAAATTTTGTTCTATCTTTAGTTTAGCTCTGCCTCTCCTTCTTTTATTAAAGACTCAAATAGTTTGCCCAAACCATTATGGGAGGGGGGAGGTACCAATGTGGGAGTAGGGAGACAGAGATGCCTTAAATGATATTTTATGTGTTTTGTTTAGGTTCTTCTTTAAGAATCTGCATTCTGAACTATAGCATGGTTTAGAAGAGGTTTTAGGATGTATTGATAGTTGCAAAGTATAAAATAATGAAGGATCTGGGACTGTGAATAAGGAATAATTACCTTCTAAATTGTTCCATACACATGACTGCTACTAATCCTAACTACTTTTATAACTTATTTTACTTGCCATCTGTTCCTTAGAGAGAAGGATCTGCTGGCAACTGCAACGTGGGGGAGTGAAGTTTCTGTTTGAAGAATCAGGCTAGGACAGGTTCGTTTGTTAAGTATTCTTAACTAAGTAGCTGATATAGAATAGTGGTCAATGTTTTTAAAGGACTGAAAGTATTTGCAGAAAGCACTTTTCTCCCAATAAGCTACAAATGTATAATTCCTAAAACATAGTGGAATGGAATTTGCAAGAGAGCTAATAAATAATGCAGATTTGCTTTAAAAAAAATCTTCCCTCTGTGGTACATTGTTAAGAACTGTAAAGCAGCAGAACATGCTGTAGATGTGAAGTGCTGCATATTAAAAAGGTGTCTTAGCTATATGCGTACGAAAGGAAGTACTACATTTGTAAATGGCAGAGTACAATTGAGACATGCAATCAAGCTCTCCTGTCCAACCATCCACTCAGCCAGTCAACTAGCTATGCCTGCTTTCAGAATGCTCCATTTTATTCCTCTTTCCCCAATTTTTCAGTCACCCCTTCTAAAGGTAAAGGTAAAGGTTTCCCCTTGACATTACGTCTAGTTGTGTCTGACTCTGGGGGGTGGTGCTCATCTCCATTTCTAAGCTGAAGAACCTTGTTTTCCATTTGTTCCACAGAGAGAAGGATCTGTTGGCAACTGGAACATGGGAGGGTGATGTTTCTGTTTGTCTGTAGATGCCTCCAAGTAATGTTACCTTCCTGCCAGAAACCTATTGATTTACACATTTTTGCATGTTTTTGAACTGCTAGGTTGGCAGAAACTGGGGA